TGGTGTAAAACTAAATTCTGTTTATATTGGTATTCACACGCCAACTGGCTCGTAGGATCATATCAATCATTCAAGTGTTATAGTGAGTCTATTTTGGGTTTCAACCGACAGTAATTGAAAAAAACGGAAACTAAAATAATTATATATACGAGTATATAGGTATTGTACCCATTAAAATAATACCTACACAGTATACTGTTGATCGAAAATCCCTCAATATGAGGACCCCATCATTCTGTGAATTATGTCATATTTTATTTTTCTAATATACACAATTAAATTTATTTTCAGCAGATTTTGAAGCAAATCTCGCGCAATAAAACATGAAAATAAAAAAAAATCTATTTGTGATTTTAAGCACGCTTGACACCTGTCAAATTATGAAATTATAAATAGTCAACACACAATAGACAAACAACGTCAACGCATAATATTGTCCTAATTTTAAACTTTGTCATTAAAATCATTTTGTTTTTAATTATTAAAGTAAATTGAATCAAGTCATATCAATCACGCTAAAAAGACCACGTACCGATAAGATATGTATATATATATGTATATATTCTTTATTTCTACCGCGTAGTATGACAGGGCTATTAAATTATTTTTTTTAATTTAAAATAAATTATATTTTTATTTCCTAAAATAAGTAGTGATTCAAATTTGATTTTTATCATGAGATTATACTTGGCACGTCATCACAATTTCGCTGTTGAATAAATTATTATATATACCTACGTTATACTGTGTGGAAGGACATAATGCGTGAAGGGAGATTATTTTACCGTCACCATGCTAAGTTTTAAGGTACATTAATATTTCCATTTTTAATTATCATATTCTTATCAATAATACGTCCAACCGCTTATATTATTATCATAATATCAGTTCTTTAACGTTCGGCACGTTTTAAACGACATAGCAATGTGGTGCACAGATTGCTTATTCCGCACGTTATTATTATTAAGTATACGTATTGTCAAGTATACTAAATGAGTTTGTTAGCTAAAAATCTAGATTATAGTTGGCTTTTAACTCCAAATGAACAAAAAGCATTAATTTTTGTTTTTATGTAATCTATATTATAATACCTAATTATTGTATTTTACTGGATTAATATTAAATTAATTTTTATCTAATAAAATACTTATATATTTCGAATTTTATAATGTTATTATTACGTTTTAATTATACTATACTATAATAGTAATATTTAGAACTAGGATTTTTATGCATTTGCATATATTTAAAGGTCAATCGTACTGCATGCCAAATAAGTACACAATTTTTTACATTAAAGTGTCAATCAAAATACAAATTTCTTTTTAATATAAATATTTTGTTTAATAACATACCACTCAGCAGCAATCACAAACAAAGCATTGGGTTTCCACATAATCAAAGACACTACCATGAAATTCTTCTTGAAAACGATCTACCTGAGAAATTTAATCTAAGTGATCTTTTTATAAGAAAATATGTAATAACTTAATAACCCATAGTATACATCTATATAATCTATTACCATTACTCAAAACTTTGTGAAATCAAAAACTTCATTATTTTTTCTTAACTATGTTACTATTATATAGTTATTAAACCACTTAACTATAAATATCAACCATATAGAAACTAATAAACTTCGTAGTTGAGGTTTTTTAATTGCAATAAAAAAAAATCTTTTGTATATTTCAACATTATCAATTTTAGCGTATACTACTATATAATATTTTGTAACTCAAGTAAAAACTATTGGTACAAATAAAGTTATTTATAAAGATTGTCTATTTGTTGTATGCAAAAAGATATATTTAAAATACACTTAGTCAATTATTAATTTATGCCATATTTATTATTTTCTGCATTTTATTACAATTTTTATAAATATTTATTTGTTTTTTTTTAAATTTTTTTTTTTGGAAATTATTAAGTACTTATAGAATTAACTATAAACCATTAAATAAATATTGCTGTAATTTTTTTACGATTTATTTAAAACTAATAACATTAATTTTTTTTTTTTTTAATCCTTACTCGGAAATTGGGACATTTTTGGTGCTTATTAATCCGATACCTATGATAATATAAGTAGACTTAATATAGATATAATGATATAATGTCTATAATATAGTCAGCTTGGGTAATATCTTTGATACAAGTGTTTTAAATACCATTGTTTTTTGTATTATTTATTCCAATTTAATTTTCAGAAGTATTGAGTATTTAGTGTTACCGTACAATTTTAGTCCATTTATCCATTAGAATATACAATAAAATGTTTTAATCGAAAGATATTTGATATGTTAAAAAAATATTCTTTGAAACATATAGACTTATTACTAAAGATAAGCAACTATTATTAATAAAAAAAATTAGTTAAGGTGTATTTGTTTATTGATATTACAATGATTAGTAATGACATTTTAACCAGGTTTCACACGATTCTTATATTTGATGAGTATTCAACAATTATTGTTGTGTTATACGAGTCATACGATTTCATGAGTTACAAGAGGTAATTAATCGTAAAATATATTAAAACTATTTTAACTTTTATTTTAGCTTTTTGTCAGTTTTAGCAATCTTGTGTTTGCTTTATACACACACACCCAGACACACGTGGTTAGATTGAGAAAAAAATTACTAGTGAATAACGAACTTTTGCAGCCTCTGTATATATTATGAATAAAATATTTGTTTAATCACCGTATATTTTATTACTATCATTAAATGTTATAATAAATTATAAAATTATATTAATGATTGCTCAAATAATAAAATAAAATATAATTTATTCATATTTTATTATTAGGTACGTTTTAGTGGTTTGTAGGTTTCATAGTTTGTCTCTTTAAATTATTAAAACAGTTTTATTTAGTTATTAAATTTTATACATATATATATGATGAAATTCTATTAGAATTAATTTTAATTTTAAGTTGAATGTATCGACCATTGAGTATTAAAATACTTAAAATGTATACAAGTATCGAGTATCTAGCACAACGGTACTCCAAAGACAAGTATTTAAGATCTACTATTGTGATATTGATTTCTAAGTATCTTACCTATATATATTTATATTACTCCTGTTAACCGTTAAAATTCAAATGACTTAAATTATAATTCTCTATTTTCCATTTTAGTTAATTTTCCATTTTAATCTGTTGCGTGGAATCTTTAGGTGAAAATATATAGTTCGCACCGGTCAAAATGCCGTTAAGTTATTATAGGATTAAATAATATATATCATAAGTAGTAACCAAGTTATTCTATCAATATACGTATTATTGTTTGTCCAGTTCAACTGTGCGAACGGAATGTACCTAACGATTGTTTAATGCACCTGCTTCACGAGGAAGTATTATGGTTAATGAACTGTTGGTTAACATTTTTAAGTGTATTGTTCAATTTGTATATATTTGTATATTCGACATTTACGTATTATTTCCATGATAAACAATGATACAGGTTGAGCTCTTTTAAGTCTGATATCGTTAAACAAGACCATATAAGTATAATATGATTGGTCGTGAAATGGTTTTTGGAAAGTTGTGTGTTACTAATGACAATGATCACACCCGGCAAATTTTGATTTACCTTCAGATGATTTTGAGCCATATATAGTTATTTATATTATATTATTGATATATTAATATATATACGTACACATATAAATGGGCGAAATACTACGAAAAATGTTAACAAAACATAACGAACATGACAGAATAAAGTTTATACTTTCATATTTATTTTTCATGGTTTTTTTTGATTCAATTGCCCAATAAAATATTCTCGTAAATTTCCTACAAATCTGTTTTTCTCGAGAAATAAAAATTATTACTACATTGAGTTTGTGTTAGTGCTCGTATTTTTATCGGAATAAATTCAAAGATGGATGTTATGTGTTTAATAGTTTTAAAGAATATATTTAAGAAACGTATCGAGGAAATAAAAATAAGTACACGCTCGTAGCGTCATCTAACGTGGATCAGACTCCATTTTCGTCCGCTATTGTCGTCGTTTTCGTTTATCGATCCACTAGTTGTCAGTGACGACCACTGTAGCGTGCGGCTACAGGCAAATAATGTGGATGGGGAACATTTATGAAGGGTGCGCTAATATTGAGGGTAGGGTAGCGAAAGGGTGGCCCACTCCAGTACATTGCAGTCCAGTACAAAACTGCTCGATTGCGACATGTAGTCGTACGCGATTTTTTTCTACAAATTTCTAAAATAATTCACAATTTATACAAAATAACACCATAATATAATTGTCATGGCCGCAGTCGATATGTCTATGTTGAAAAATACATTGACTTTCGACTGCTGTGGGCCATTTTGAACAATTATTTAATAACAAAGTCAGTTCGATTCAAAATACTGATATTTTTTTGGTGCTATTTAAATCAAATATATGGTTAATGTTTCTTTCATTAACATTAATATTCATCGCAAATAAAAATATACCATATGGAGTACATTATGTTATAACAATGAATAACATATAAGTCTCCATTTCAATGTTTTGTTTTGTCGAAATTATTTTCTTATTTTAATTCTTTTGATTTAAATTTACTTCAAGATATTAATTAGTAAACGTAATATAACTTATATTTGAAATAGATAAATTATATAATTTTTCTTATAGCTATTACTTAATTATAATTATTATATTTTTATTACAAAACTAAACATTTTTTTTTTTATTCTTCTATATATTATTTTAATAACTATTCTATTAAATCTACCGAAAGGTTTTGAGTCTAGACTAATTTTACATTTTATTTAAACATTTTACACTGATATTAAAATATGAATATAACTATGTATATAAATATAACACAAAAAATTAAATGTACTTATAATTATTCTATTGAATCGTTTGAAAGGTTTCGATTCCAGAATAATTTTTCATTTTATATTAACATTTTACAGTATAATTTTAAAAAATCAATTATTATTTATTTTACAAATAACCAAACATTAAAATATAAATAATATAAAAATAATTTTTTATTAAATATAACTTAAATACTGGAAAATTAAATTAACTTAACATTCGATGATACAAAATTTAGTCTAAAACACTAAAACACCAAAATCGTTATAAATCCACAACATTTGCAGTCTTATAGGTGAGACTATAATGTAACAATTTTGAATTTTTGTATGTATAATAAACGTGTAAAAAAAAATATTGAATGTTGATAATATATTAGTTTATTATTTAATTTTTATCCATAAAGTTACTAATAATCAATTATAATTGTAGCTAATAATAGATATAGTGTTAAATAATAAACATTATATTGCATAGTATTGAGTAGAGATCATTGCAGATAGGAAAGGGTTATGATGAAAAAAATATAGAAAATAAATAACATGTTGACATCATCTATTTAAGTCTCTCGATTTTATCAACCATTTTTTCGAATTTCGATAAACTAAACATATTTAAATTTAATAAACACATAATAATATGGCCGTATAATAATTTTGTAAGATTTTAATTAATATTTTAGTTCCAAGAAAAAATGTTATCATTGCAAAATCATTTCTCAAAATCCAAAAATGTATTTGGAATACATTTTTCAACTATAGTATCAAGATTCACGAAACACGTTTCAAGTCCATTTAGAATAGTGTATTGTTATATTAAAATATGCCGATTTTTTTTTTGTATTTTGAATAATTTAATGTGGAACTTTCATTGGTTTAAGCATGACCTTCGATTCAAAGAGTTTTCCGTTTAAAATAAATTATCCGCACACAATCGTATACAAATAACTTTCTAACTCACAGAATCCAAAATTTACGTAATTTTCTTATTTTCAAATACCAAAAATGAAATAAATTGTACGAAAGAAGTTTTAAAATATATACAAAAGTATAATGATATTATGAATGTCACAAGCGATGGCGTATTTTGACCTAAACTTTGGAGAATTGATTAAATTTGTAAAGTCATTCAAAAAAATATATTTAAAATTTCGAGAAGGTTTTATTCCTCCGTCTTCTCTGTTTATACGATTAGAACTTCACTAGAAGCAAGGTTATTTTTCTCAAAAACTCAGTTCTTAGACATGATTATACGCCACTGATCACGGCTAATAGTATTTTAATTTAATGCTTTTCAAACACCGAAATCGTAATGCCTTTTCACTCAGTATTAATTTTAGTTAGGGAACCTGAATAAATTAATCAAGACAATTCTGAATTTCCTACAGTCATTAAACTAATGTGAATGTCAAGAACATAATATAATATTCCTGGATACCAACCATTGATTACCTTTGGTAATTTCCTAATAACAGATCATCAAGCGAATCTATAAATAGAGTGGTCGAGCATTTAATGATGTATAACTTGAACAATATTCGAAGCGCACGGACACTGTTAATTACCGCAATGATATTAATTTTGATTCCTTATTTACAAGAGGTATACCGAATAATTTTCAATTAGTTTCGCACAGAGTTTGAAATCAGTTTGTATTTATCATACTTTAATACCAAATTTAATAGCTTACTTTACAAGAAAATATTTGCGTGCTTTACATATCATCAGCATTTGATCAGTTGAATTATAATTTACATACACAGTTATTGATAAAAATCTATTTGTTTCTAGTAGCTCTTCGGTAAACATGAATAGTATTCATTATTTGTGAACAAATTAATTCAAACAACAGTTTATCATTGATGATGAACGAGACTATAATTACACAAGTATATTATTATCATGTAAAACTAACGAAGATGATAAAAACCTTTAAAAAAAAAATAATCATATTTTTATTATTATTTCTCGAGAATTTTTATTTTCTAATTTACAACATAAAACAAATATTATACATTTTTTATTTTCATATTCCAAATTTATATCTGTGAATTATTATTGTTTATCGAAATGTCCAATCAATTATTTTTATTAATATATTGTCATATTTGTATTAATAATGGTTGCGTATATCTTAAGTTAAATTATCATTTTGAGTACGATCATCAATTTTATGATTGACGCTGTAAAGATCAACAAATATTTGTATATGATTTTCAAATTTCATTACCCACTCTTTGAAAAAGGTGAAAGTATAATTTGTATTTCGGTTTTAAAAAAAACACAACTCACTTTGAAGTGTTTTCTTCTGTTAATACAGCTCAAAATACAAAGAAATTCCCACCGGAGCTCCTTTGGCAAGAGTAACAGTTTTACGAAATTACTAGTTGTCACAAGGGATTAAACATGTATAGTTCACGGTGAATATAAATAAAATAAAATCGAAAAATATATTGAAGTGAATATTTTCACTGAAATGGATTATTTTAATTCAATTTTTCTTTATAACAAATGACTAAAGTTAACTATTGCAATATTCCGGAAGCTTTCAAACATCAAACAGCCATAACATAAAATATATTATATTACAGATTTTTTCTTTTAACATATATATTTAAATATATTATCGGTAATTTTTTTTCTTATTAATAATATTATTAGCTCCAAATTTTAAGAATAAATTTAAATTATCGTTGAGTATTGGAAACTACTCTAAAATATTGTAATTTTTACAATGTACATATTACAGTACAAATCATTACCTATATATATATGGTAAGTAATAAATTAATTTAATCGATATAAAAATAGAATATTTTTAAAGCGTTTAATTTTTTCTTCTTGATTTTAAAAATTTAAATATTTTAAACTTACATTAGCTTATTATTACAATCAAAATACACTTAAGTACGATTATTTTACCACATGATTTGGCAGAAAAAATATTTCTTGGATTGCCAATTCATTAATGTAAAAATGAATCTATAGATTAAGTTGGTTGCAGTTTATTGATCCATAGATGAATAACACTGTAATAAATTTAAAAACAAATGAGGTAAGGGTATAGCTAAATGATCTGGTAAAAACTTTATATAATAATTTCGTTAAGTAGTTATTGTTAACCATTTAATACCTATCTAAATTGAACTATTCAAAGTTTAAAGTTTTAAATGAATTTCGTTATTGAAAATATGTCACACTGATGTGTTAAATTTGAATTAAATGATAAATCATTACATTAGAAAAATAATTCTAAGCGGATACTATGTGTTAGCCTTCACTTCTAAGGATATTTAATAATGTATTTGGGTATAGGTACTTAATATACATGATTATTTTTCTTATAATAAATAGTTATTATAGTTATGATAAATATGTCATTTTATTTTTTCAATAAAGAGTCAAATATATTTTATTTCAGTCTAATTTTAAATGATATACAGCCACTATCTATGTAGATATGTGTGAGGCATATGTGCGTACTAAGAGGCGTATATTATCTCATAATAAAGAAATAATAAAGAGGCGTCATCTCTCGTGGCCCTCTTTTTTAGAGGTATCACACGGCTCTTTCAAATAAGTTAAAAGTAGATTTACAGTGCAATCATATAACTATTTTATTATTATTATTGAAATGATAAGACTTCAATATCTGAGGAAATTAGTAATATGTATTTTTATATATTAATCTAAATTCCATGGTGTTATATTATGGTGCATATTTTAAAGAAATAGATAATAATAGTTATCAAAATTGTCTTAAAGTAATTTTTAAAGGCTTTCCATATTCATGGAAAACGTAATGATGTTTCTCGAGTTTTCCTCTTAAAGTTCTTGTTTTATAGTTTGTGGGTTCCTAAGAATTCGTTTGAAACTGTTGAACTTAGGGCATTTTATTACGACTTGTTTGATGTCAATTGTCTATTGACTATCACAGAGTTCGTGAGGTGAAAGTTTTTCTCTAGTCATGAAATATAGATATTGTATTAAACAAAAGTGTTCAATCTGAGACTTCGTAATAACTACTTCTTCATATATAGTTAAAAGCAAGAGAGATTTCCATGAGATAATTGATGTTATGATTTCTCTAAGTTTGTTTATAATAATTAGTGTCTCTTCTCACACGCCTTGTCAATATGTTTTGGTTAAATTATTAATTTTTTTGAGTATGTCTTGAAGTCATATACCTAACTATTATATACAACCATAGTGAACATTGAAGTGTATACAGTAGATTACTGCTAATACCATACATATTTATAATTACTAGTAAACTGCATTTATAATTTTTTTTAAAGTTTCCAGTATCCAAACTTTGACTTATCCGAATTAGACACAACTCCTATTAATTCATATAATTATAAAGCTCTATTGTATTTAAATTGTTTGGAGACCCTAGTTTTATTTAAAATTATAATTATATTTCTTCATACTCCAATTTTTCTTTTCGTGGTATATTATATAAATATCTACCTAAATGCATTTACAGACCCATTTAAAAGTTATGTGTATGCCCAATGTTAATTATTATAAATTATTATAAAAATATTTAAGTTTAAAAACAATTGTTAGTTATTGATGGGCCTAGATATAGACGTTTTAGAGAGGGCTCCAGGTTCAAGTGAAGATTTTAAAATTATTAAAAACATTTTATGATAAAATTAACATGGCTACGGGTTTAATGCTAGTTAAAAAGTGAATTTTTTCAAAACTCTTTTTATTTAATTAGTCAGTGAATTTTCTGATTAACTTAATAATTTAATTAATAAATAGTTTATCTATTGTAATAGTTACATATTTTTCAGTTAATTTGAACATTAATATACAAAGTATTATTATACGTATTATATATACATGATATAACTACAATATTTTCGGTAGTAAAAATTAATTAATTATTTGTGTTACTTTGTTATAAACATTTGTTTTAAATAAGAAGAAAATATATATAATTGTTTTAATGAACACTCATTATTTCATAAATCATTGTAAATAGTGTCAATAAAAAGTAATGTTAAAAGAATACGACTCATTAAAAAAAAAAAAATAAAAATATTTATTGACCATTAAAACATATTTAAAAATTGCCATTTGTGATCAAGGTGATAATTAATACATTTTCATCTGAATTATGTTAATATTGTTTTCCATATTTAATACATGTAATATATTTTATTATTAATGCTTATTCAAATTAATTGTGTTTATTAACTTGTCAATCTTTGAAAATTAATTGATATGATAGATTGCTTACTTTTATTCAAATCAAATTACTTATTTAAAATTTGAGTAATAA